TTTTCTACTGTAGTATTCAAATTTATCTCAAAATAGTCCTTTAACGTTTTTTGGGCCTTTTTCACAATCTCTTGATCTCTTAGTAAGGCGTCATTCATTCTCCATCTGAAGGAACCGGGTTGAGTTAGTCTGAGTTCTACTTTCAAGGCGTTGTGGTCGGAGCATGTTCTTGGGCAGATTTCCACCTTTCTGGTCTTCGGTGCCAGCCCTCTAGACGTCCAGATTTGGTCGATCCGTGTCCAAGACAGGTGGACCTCAGAGAAGAAAGTTCCTTCTTTACCTAGGGGGTTCTTTGTCCTCCATATGTCGATCAAGTCCAAGTTATCAGTCAGTTCAAAAAAAGTTTTGGGCAGTCTGCCGTCTGATGTTAAGTTTTGGCTTTGAGACTTGTCCATGTGTGTAGACACCACTCCATTCATATCTCCCATCATTATAATATTATTATAGTCCAAATAGTCCAGCAACGTCTCATGCAGCTTCTTGAAAAATTCTGATTTCCCGTCGTTTGGGGCATATATTCCTAATATCAAAATTTTTTCTCCTTGTGTCTGGATTTCAATCGCCAAAATTCTTCCTTGTTCATCCTTAAATAGGAACTTTGGTGCCAGGCTCTCCTTGGCATAGATCACCACACCTCTTTTCTTAACTTTATCTGATGAGATAAATTCTTGGCCTAATCTTTTGTTGATCAAAACTTTCCTGTGGAGTCTGGTCACATGAGTTTCTTGTAGGCAAATGATATCCAATTGTTCTTTCTTCAATATGTGAAAAATCTTCCTTCTTTTCTCCGGGGAATTTCCGCCATTTATATTCCAACTGAGTAGCTGCAGAGACATCTTGTACTAATTTGTTACAGCTAGAGTGGTGTATCTTCTTTGTCTTCTGGTCCCGAGGGTGTAGGCGTTGCTCCTCCTCCAGGCAGTATAGGCCCAGATTGAGGTAGAGGCCAATGTGCTGCAGCTTCTTTTTGGAGGTCTTCACCGTGGTCGTGCTGGAACTTTTGTAAATCCTCTGGGGTTCTTATTTTAACCTTCTTCTGTTTGTAGGTGAATGATAAGCCTTGTGGAAATTCCCACCTTATAAGGAATTGCGTTGAGCCTCAACAACTTCGCCAATTCTGAGTAGGTGGCTCTCAAGTCCAGTAGCTGTTTGGGTATATCTCTGTAAATTTCCACCCTTTTGTTTTGTATCTCCAGTGAATTTTTAAAGTGTAGGCCTAGTATTTTGTCTCTCTCTTCTCTTGATCTTAAGGCTATCAAACAGTCCCTGGATCTGTCCTTTCTTACTAATCTTCCCAGTCGAAAAGCCGATACTATTTTAAAATCACTTTCTTCCTTTATGCCCCAGAACTTTGAGAATTCTGTTGTCAAAAATCCAATCAAGCTTTCTTGCTCAATTTCTGGAATTGCTCTTAATCTAAGATTAGTCTCGCGATTTTTCAGTTCCACCAAAGAGAGATAGGCTTGCTGGTCCCCAATCTGTTTATGCAGAGGCTTAACTTCTGCTTTGACTTCCTCGACCTCTTTCTTGGCAGACGTTGCTATTTGAATGGCTTCCCCAGCCAATTTCCGGTTCTCCTCTGTTGCTCCTTGCAATTTTTCAATTGCTTGTGTGTGTTGGGAAACCTGATCCGTCAATTTCTGGATCGAGGAAGTAGCTTGGTCAATTTTTATTGATTGGTTATCTACCTTTTGATTTAGAGCTGACAATTGTTCCAAAATTTGTTTCAGGACTGCCTCTGATCCTCCTGATGCCATATCCTCCTCTTCAGATTTTTTAGGCTTTTCAACTTCTACTTTATGTGTCTCAAGCACAGCTGGGACCGATGATCTGCGTCCCTGAGTCAAAGTTGTTTGTACTAGCTGTGTCTGCTTTTTCTCTTTTTCTTTTTCCTTAGCTTCCTTAGCCTTGGCTGCTCTTGTCTTTCCCGTACCACTCATCAGTCACTGTTCAAGGTCAAATACTGTAGTCCCATGGGAAAGGCAGGTCCAATTTAAAAACAATCCAGTGAGAGAAGGTAAACAAATAGAACTGTTCCCAGGCCTTTGTAATTTCAGTATCCTCTAGGGGGAGTGCCACCAAAATTCAGTAAGAAGAAGAAGGATTTTCCGCCATTTAAAATCCCTATTGTTCCAATTTTAAAAGCACATAGTCCCAAAGCACTAAATAAAAGAGTCCTGCAGAGCACTTTCAAACTTTAACAAAGTTCCAACTAGGTGCCTGCAACAGTATCCAGTCCACACTGATTTGGCTCAAAAGTATCACTTTAAAATCCAAAAGTATCTGGAAGTTTGTAACAGTTTCCGCAGTTAAACAGTTTCCCCCCCGGCAGTCCGCCGATTTGGGATTAAAGTCTCAAAAACCCTTAAACGAGGAGACCACTCCAATTTAATTTAATTTTGAGGGTTTACTTACTGGTAATTCTGTATTTCTTCATTAAAAGCAAGCTCAAAAGTGCATGAAAGTCCCACTTTAACGCTTCCCTATTCACAGCGCTTTCCGCTCCTCTTGTCTTTGCTTTGATCTAAAGCAGCGCCGGAAGACGGACTTCCTTTTTCTCGTCTCCCGGTTTCAGCCAAATTTTAAAATTTATTCCGCCAAAATTCAAGTCCTTACGGGTTTTTAGTTTCAGCCAGATGTTTTTAGGAAGAAAGGTCGGCGCTCATCCGTGACAGCCGCGCGGCTTCGCCTCCGCAGAAAGAGCGATGAACTCACAGCACCGCTCCCCCTCCTTCACTCCGGAGCCCCTTACGGGGTTCCTTCCGCGAATTCGGGGTCGCTCCAGGTGCCCGCCGAGTCCCACGGCCACGGGCTCACTCTACCCGTGGTTTATCTTGATGGGTTGCCGCTGTGCCGTAGCGAACCAACCCTTTTCTGCGGTGCCCCTCTTCACAGCTCGAAGAGGACCGCCATCACGGTTTCGCGCCGCCTCCGGAAGTCCCGCTGTCACATTCCAAATACAGTGGTACCTCGGGTTACAAACACCTCGGGTTAAAAACACTTTGGGTTACAGACTCCGCTAACCCGGAAGTAGTACCTCGGGTTTAAAACTTTACCTCAGGATGAGAACAGAAATCGCATGCCGGTAGTGCATCCGCAGTGGGAGGCCCCATTAGCTAAAGTGGTACCTCAGGTTAAGAATGGTTTCAGGTTAAGAACAGACCTCCAGAACGAATCAAGTTCATAACCAGAGATACCACTGTAACATTTTCTCCTACATTTTGATTGTGGTTTGTCCTCTGAGTAAGGATGCCCTCTGTACAGAGTTGGAAAGAAACATAGGGTAAGCCAACTGTGCCTTTTCCCAGATTTTATCTTTTTTAAACAATACCACCACCACCACCAAACATCCTTCTGAGGATTGTTGGAAGGAATTCGGAGATGCTATGGGGCAAAGAAATCATTTAGTCCTCTTCTTGAGACACTATGCCAACAATGGCTCAGGATAAGTAAGGTTTAAATATTCCCTTTTGGGGAAATGGTCCTGTGTTTGAAGAAGGCAGTCGGTGAAGAACTTGCCCTGCTTGCTCTCTGTTTGTATCTCTTAACATTATTTTAAAATTTAAAATAAAATAAAAAATATGGACAGGTTTCAAGTGACATCCAACATTGCATGAGTAGACATCTGCCTGTGTAATGGGACTTCCTCTCCTCCACCCTGTAGCCCTTTGTGCACAACCTCCCCATGTAACAGATTGTGGAGGTTACTGGCAAATGGGATCAGTCATGATTAACCTAATGAGCATATATGTAAAATTAATATGCCCCCACCAGACACGTATCAGTTACACTTGTTTACATTGAATTGCATTTGCCATTTGACCACCAATTTACCGTATTTTTCGCTCCATAAGACACACTTTTCCCCTCCTAAAAAGTACAGTGGTGCCCCGCAAGACGAATGCCTCGCAAGACGAAAAACTCGCTAGACGAAAGGGTTTTCCGTTTTTTGAGTCGTTCCACAAGATGAATTTCCCTATGGGCTTGCTTTGCAAGACGAAATGTCATGCGAGTTCTTGCGAGTTTGTTTCCTTTTTCTTAAAGCCGCTAAGCCGCTAATAGCCGCTAAGCTGCTAATAGCTGTGCTTCGCAAGACAAAAAAACTGCAAGACGAAGAGACTCGCGGAACGGATTAATTTCGTCTTGCGAGGCACCACTGTAAGGGGAAATGTGTGTGCGTCTTATGGAGCGAATACAGGCTGCGCAGCTATCCCAGAAGCCAGAACAGCAAGAGGGAGAGCTGCTCTTGTTGTGCTGCCTTCCCAGCGAAGCAGGATGAGGGACGGAAGGGAGCCTTACGGGCGGGCGGACCAGCGGCTCCTTAGCCTGATCCTCCCTCCTCCTTCCTCTTCCTCTTCCTCTTGTTTTCCCCAGCTGCCTTGGGCTTCTCTTGAGCCTTCCTGAGAGCCCGGCTGCCCCCTAAGCCGGCTGCCTGGCTCTATTCCTCGCAAGCCCCTTGATGTGTTGGAAGCAGCAGCAGCAGCTGCAGCATCGGCAGCCCCTGGCAAGGCTCAGGAGCGCTCAAATGCATAGCACAAGGAGGGGAGAGGCCTCAGATGCAGAATATATTTTTTTCTTGTTTCCCTCCTCTAAAAACTAGGTGCGTCTTATGGTTGGGTGCGTCTTATAGAGCGAAAAATACTGGTACTTAAGTCTGTTGATTTTAGTGGGTCTGCTCAAAACACGTCTTACTTCGATAGCAATCCAATCTCTTTAAATTACAGTGGTAACTCGGGTTACATACGCTTCAGGTTACAGACTCCGCTAACCCAGAAATAGTGCTTCAGGTTAAGAACTTTGCTTCAGGATGAGAACAGAAATTGTGCTCCGGCGGCACGGCAGCAGCAGGAGGCCCCATTAGCTAAAGTGGTGCTTCAGGTTAAGAACAGTTTCCGGTTAAGAATGGAACTCCGGAACGAATTAAGTACTTAACCCGAGGTAGCACTATAGTATCGAACTCAATTCCTGCTAACTGGTTGTTTCCTCTTTTTCAGATATGCTTCTGCTTCATGGTCAGTTCTCTCCTAAAGAAGCCTAAGACCACTTCATTTGTTGTCTTCTTCTTGATGTTTACTCTTGGAGCCATCAGCATTGTTCTGTTGATCAATTTAGTTCCTGCAGCTTTGAAATGGACTTTGAGTGTGTTCTGCCCCTTCGCCTTTGGTGTTGAACTGTCAAAGGTAGGGCGCTGTGCTTTATTTGGAATGGAAAACAACATTCTACACCCCCCCAACCTTGGTGAAGCTGATTTTCAGGCATGTTTTCAGTGGCGAGCAGAGGTGCCGAGTTGTGCCCAAGATTGTGGGGCCTGTTGCGCATGGGACGAACACTGGGTTGGGAGGAGGCTGACCATGGAGGCAGGGGGCCAGCTCTGTCCTTTCAAAAACAGGAAAGTGAAACCCTGTCAGTTCTCCCCACCCTGCCCTACCATGCTGGCCTGCAGTCCCTTATTTCTTTTCCTGCTCTCTGTGTGTCAACATTCACAGCAGAGCATCTGTTTCTTTGCCCCTGTACCTGATGCAACAAATGCCACAGCACAGCCTAATCCTTCCTGACGACTCTCTTCAGCAGGGTAATGGTAGAAACCATGCCCCCCCCCCTTTCCCAGCAAAGGCGTAGCTGTCGGCTGCCCCTTGCCTCAGCCCCGGGGCTTGCGGCTTCCTCTCCCTCAGCCTGGGGCTGAGGCGGAGGGTGGAACAGGGGGCAAAACTGGGTGGCTCAGCCTGCCTAGTGACACCTCCTGGAGGAGGCCAGTAGTGGGAGGAGGCCTAGCACGGGGGGGGGGGGGCTCAGCCCCATCCCAACAGACTTGGGAAGGGGTCTGAAGGAACCTCAGCCCTATAGAGTTGGCGCCTGTGGTGGAGAAAGATCCCAACCATCATGGTAGCACGGGCATTTTCCAGGGCTGGCCCTGCCATGCAGTGGCAGAGCTTCATGCTCCAGCACCGGGGGGTGGAGAGCTGGTGGGGGCAGAGCTGGCACGCGTCCCAGGGGGCACGGCATGCCACCTGCAGGGGGGCAGCCACGATGGCACCCTACCAGGATTGCGCTGCCAGGGGCGGTGCGCTCCCCCAGCACTCCTCTTCCTCCACCAGTGCTGCCATGCACAGTGTAAAGCAGGGGAGGACATTGCTGTGTGTGCCACATGACATGCCCTGTGCCTCCGAAACTAACCTGCTGCCCACAGGTGCAGTGGTGTTGTCCCATCACCAGTACTGAAGTAAAGTCCAGCTTCTGGTCCAGATGGCTTCTGCACATGGAGAGCTGAGGGGAGAGCGCCCATTTACCCTTTCCTTTATGCAGGAAAGTGTGTTGGGCAATCCCTGCCCTTTCCATTCGCCTCTCTTAAGGTATTCTGAGAGTGAATGTACAGAAATCTGTATACAGTGAACGCTCAGGTTGCGAACGTGATCCATGCAGGATGCATGTTCGCAATCCGCAGCGTTCACAACCCACGCGGGTTGCGATTCAGTGCTTCTGCGCATGCGCAAAGTGTGATTTAGTGCTTCGGCGCATGCACGACCGCTGAAACCCGGAAGTAACCTGTTCCAGTACTTCTGGGTTTCGCAACCTGAAAAAACAAAACCTGAAGCATCTGTAACCCGAGGTATGACTGTACTGATACAACAGGTGCTCCTCTGTATTCTATTCTATTTTACTTAACTGTGGTCCATGCTTCGCTTACGTGGGGCTAGCTTTTAAACAACAGGCAGGCAGCGAGGGGCTAATTCCGTTTCAAACTTTTCTTCCTGCAGTTTTGACCCACGGGGACTTAGACGTTGTTCTTTCCCCCTACAGATTCTTCATGTTCAAAAATATGGAGGAAACTTCACCTTGTCTAGCCTAATGCATGAACCATGCACATATATCCTGGTTTTTGACGGTACTTTATATATGTTGCTGGCCCTCTATTTTGACAAGGTCATACCCGGTAAGCATACGACAAGCATGCTAGCTGCATAATTGCTGCTTTAAAACAGCTGCATCAGTTGCATTTGTTTCTGGGCCCAGTTGAAGATGTTTCACACCACTAGTGTTTAAAACCCTAAGCAAATATCTGAAAGGCTTGCCTTCTTCCCCACAGAAACCTCTCATCTGTTGACTTTAGTACAGTGGTGCCTCGCAAGACGGAAATAATCCGTTCCGCGAGTCTCTTCGTCTAGCGCTTTTTTCGTCTTGCGAAGCAACCCTATTAGCGGCTTAGCGGATTAGCGCTATTAGCGGTTTAGCGGCTTAGCGGCTATTAAAGGATTAGCGGCTTAGCGGCTAAAAGGCTATTAGCGGCTTAGAAAAAGGGGGGGAGCGGGGAAAAAATCGCAAGACTCGCAAGCCGTTTTCATCTTGCAAAGCAAGCCCATAGGGAAATTCGTCTTTCAAAGCAACTCAAAAATGGAAAACCCTTTCGTCTAGCGGGTTTTTCGTCTTGCGAGGCATTCGTCTTGCGGGGCACCACTGTAGTGGTTTATGTTCTTGGTAGGGACACGGGTGGCGCTGTGGGTTAAACCACAGTGCCTAGGACTTGCCGATCAAAAGGTCAGCAGTTCGAATCACCATGATGGGGTGAGCTCCCATTGCTCGGTCCCAGCTCCTGCCAACCTAGCAGTTCGAAAGCACATCAAAGTGCAACACCAGCTCCCTCGGTTTGTAAAGCGGGAAGAGTGCCGCAACCCCAGAGTCTGTCACGACTGGACCTAATGGTCAGGGGTCCCTTTACCTTTATGTTCTTGGTAAGGACATAAAAGAGCCAAAGAGCCAACAAGCCCAGGATCCTGTTCTCACAGTAACCAACAAGATACCTGTGGGAAGTCCGCAGAAAACTTGCAAGCATTCAGTGGAGAAAATGGAAAAACATGCAGTGGAAGCTGTTTGACTTCTGAGGCGTGTTTGAAAACGGAAGCATTTACTTCTGGGTTTTTGGCGTTCGGGTCCCAAAATGTTCAGCTTCCAAGACGCTCGAAAACCGAGGTACAACTGTACTTTCATTGCTCTCATAAGTTTTTTTGAGGAGAGGGGCATTCCCTGTGGCAGCCCCCAAGCTGTGGACTTCTCTCTCCCAGATGGCACTTTCATTGTATGGTTTCTTTATTAAATAAATGTTATTAAGTTCCATAGAGAAAAATACGAAAGTTAATATCTTTTTCCTTTAAAAAAACAACAACCACCAAAGCAAACCGAGGCTTTTATCTAAATACAATAAAAACACAAAAATGGGAGGGGCAAGGGAGAGAGCTAGAGAAAGAAAATGAAAGAAATAAAAAGAGAAGGAAAGAGATTAAAAGAGAAAGAGAGAAAAATAAGGTTCAGAAAATAAAGGACTTCCAATTGTTCATCTGTCCACTATATATAAAAACAAGTCACTTCATCCAATCCAATATAACACCAAACAAAACCGTTTTTTATAAACAAACATTATCTTCAATCCTCAAATTCAGATATCAGTATTTTATTTTATTTTTCATGCAAAAAGTCCATGAGGGAGTTCCAGTCTTTAACAAATGTTCACAATGCATTAAACAAGGCCAATTTCTCCATCTCTGCTAAGTCTGTTAGTTTTAACAGCTGTTCTTCTGTTGTTGGTAATAGTGGGCCCTTCCATCTTTGTGCATATAAAAGACTTGCAGCCACAATCACAATATTGTAGCAAAGTTCCATAGTCTTTTTCTAACTGTATATCCATAAGTCCCAGTAAGAAGAGTTTCTGACATACTGCAGGTGTACCTCCTGGCCTTTGAGATTTGAGATGTAGAATCATAGAATCATAGAATTGGAATAGACCACAAGGGCCATCGAGTCCAACCCCCTGCCAAGCAGGAAACACCATCAGAGCACTCCTGACATATGGTTGTCAAGCCTCTGCTTAAAGACCTCCAAAGAAGGAGACTCCACCACACTCCTTGGCAGCAAATTCCACTGTCAAACAGCTCTTACTGTCAGGAAGTTCTTCCTAATGTTTAGGTGGAATCTTCTTTCTTGTAGTTTGGATCCATTGCTCCGTGTCAGCTTCTCTGGAGCAGCAGAAAACAACCTTTCTCCCTCCTCTATATGACATCCTTTTATATATTTGAACATGGCTATCATATCACCCCTTAACCTCCTCTTCTCCAGGCTAAACATGCCCAGCTCCCTTAGCCGTTCCTCATAAGGCATCGTTTCCAGGCCTTTGACCATTTTGCTTGCCCTCCTCTGGACACGTTCCAGTTTGTCAGTGCCCTTCTTGAACTGTGGTGCCCAGAACTGGACACAGTACTCCAGGTGAGGTCTGGACCAGAGCAGAATACAGTGGCACTATTACTTCCCTTGATCTAGATGCTATACTCCTATTGATGCAGCCCAGAATTGCATTGGCTTTTTTAGCTGCCGCGTCACACTGTTGGCTCATGTCAAGTTTGTGGTCAACCAAGACTCCTAGATCCTTTTCACATATACTGCTCTCAAGCCAGGTGTCACCCATCTTGTATTTGTGCCTCTCATTTTTTTTGCCCAAGTGCAATACTTTACATTTCTCCCTGTTAAAGTTCATCTTGTTTGTTTTGGCCCAGTTCTCTAATCTGTCAAGGTCTGTAATCTGTACTCTGGTCTTTGACATAGGGATAGGATCCACCCTGTTCTTGTGACAATAACCATACTTTTTCATCTATAAGACGCCCCCATGGATAAGACGCCCCTTAGTTTTTGGGACTCAATATTAAGAAAATGGGGAGATTGTCCAGAATGGGAGGAATGCCAAAAAAAGCTCACCCAAATTCCAAACGTTTGCGATCGAACGCAATGCAGAAGCCTTCTATCGTATTTCCGATCGACACCAGCAGCCGCCAATCACACGCCCAATTGCCACAGCAGAGCCCAATCACCAGCAGCCATTGTCGCAGCAGCAACCAGTCGCCAGTGGACATTCTCGCAGCAGCGACCAATTGCAAGCAGACATTGCCGCAGCAATGCCCAACCACAAATGGACATTGTCGCAGCAGCACCCAATCACAAGCGGACATTGTCGCAGCAGCCTATCACCCGCAATAACACCAGTAACTATCTACTACTCAAGACAGAAATCATTTCCACAGTCCTCCCTCTGCACCACCCATGTATAAGACAATTCAATTTTTAAGCGTTGTTTTAAGGGGAAAAAACATCGTCTTATAGACGGAAAAGTATGGTAATTTGTCTTTAACTGTTTTTAAATATCTTAAATTGTTGTGACTGCTGTGAGAAGGGTGGGCTAAACAAAAATTAGAAGAAATGGCTTTTGGCTGGAAGATTGCATCTCTGTAGATTGCATTTCCTAACCTCTGATTTATTTCTTTGGAATTGACTTCTGTAATTTAGGAAGCCTTGTGATTAGTGCCTTTTCTAAGGGAAATAGCATGATTGGAGCAGCAGTACTAGACCTTGCTTGAGATGTAGTAGCTTATATATTCTGTTTAAGATTCTGAAAGCATAAGCATTATCCAAATATGGATTCTATGAAGGTATATTTAAAGAAACTTTGTTAGCTTTTAGGTCCTAGCCCTGCTTTCATCTAGGACAGTTTAAAGCACATTTTACAACCCCTTTGCTTTCCCCTGCAAGATATGAGCAATCAAACCAGGAAGTCTCTAATTAACCATAGTTTCTTGTTTTGCCTGAACCAGAAAATGACGTTTACTGGCTTTAGAGCAAGGCAAAATCCCGCTTTGTTCTGAAATTAGCAGCCATAGTTTCCTAGTTCAGATGAAACACAAAGCTATGGTCAATTAGAGACATTTTGAGTTTAATGTGACTCATGTGAAGGGAACAGGAAAGAGGCTGAGGCTTAATAAGCCAAGATATGATTGCCTGAATGCAACCAATGTATCTATTCGGTTAAAGTTATGTGACTTGTTCCACAACCACTACATATTTGAATGAATGACTGTTTAAGTAAGCTGCAACATCCATTTCCACTAAATGTTGGTCACTGAGACTGTGCTTTAGAGAAGTAGCAAGGGCTGATAAATTTGAAGTGCGTTACATGTTTAATACCAAGAATTAATAGAACCTTTTGATGCATAAAACCTTTTTTATATGTGTATCTTAGACAAATATGGCGTGCCCTATCCTCCCTTCTTTTTCCTGAAGAAGTCCTACTGGTTTAAATCAAGAGGAAGCTATACCAGCACTGCTCTTACAAATGAACCAAGCCATGGTAATATCTTCAGTGACAATGCTGAGCCTGTGCCTCCTGAATTTGATGGAAAGGAAGCCATTAGGTAAAAGTTAAGGAGGGCGTGGCCTTAAATAACTTTTTGAGCAAATTGACGCAGAAATCCTGCCCCTGCGCCAAGCATCTGTATGAAGTCAAGAATATTTGGTTTTTGTTTTCAGAGGGTATCGGGTAACATTGTTTTTATTCACAAGAGAGCGATGCAGACAGAAATATATACTTCTGTTCCACAGAATGCCAAGGAGTCTCAAGAATGTGGATGAGGTTGTTTATTGGGAATGACAACTAACCCAGCATACGTCTAAGAATTCTGTCTAGCCATGTGCAACATTGATAGGGAAGAAAGATAATATCTGGTCTGAATTTGAAATAGTAGTTTCAGAGTTGCACAGCTTGACCATTTCCATAGAGATGATACGCCGCCGGGGAGATAGTTGTGACTAAATTGTAACTAAAATCCAGTATTGTATTAACCATTCGTTGTTTCCGAATCCTTTAGACTAAATAACATTAAAAAAACTTACAAAGAGAAGAGCAAGGAAACAGAAGCTTTGAGAGGTGAGATGCTGTTCATGTTTTCTCGTCCGTTCCGTAGTGGGACTGGGCTGCATGCATGAAACTGTGTGTGCAGATTGAATGACTCCACCGCCTACTGAAGGAAAAGGAGAAACTAACAATGGGTTGTGGGCTTGGAAGCAGAATAAGGAACCTTGGCTATACGTTTGTGAAACATTGCTCTGGAGCACAGGGGTCAACCCTCCTAATGTGGACAAGTGGTCTGGTTTCTTTTTGTTTTCCATTGCCTTTTCAGCAGGATTGCCCACTCTAAGCTTTGTGGCTAATATCTAACCTCCCCTCAATGCAGTTACATTTATTGAGCACTGACTGTTATGGTGGGACGAGGCGGTTTGTAGGAAATAATGGATTTCCCCTCTTCCTTTAATGATTCATGGGCTCACCACTGCCCCATGTTCAACTGCTTCTGCATTCATAAACAGCTAGGAGAATTGCTTCCACTGCACTCCCTATGAATACTGTACCACTTTTCTATATTACCATGTACAAGGCAGTTTACAGCAACAAAATATACAACAAAGAACACATACCTATTAATAATTTGATCCAATACCAAAAGTCACAATCAAACATAACTTTAAAATGGAATATTACTTTATTTGATGTATTAGAATCTAATAGTACACCATAAAATTAACTCTCAGAACATCAGCTGATAATAATTAAGCAAAAATTCACTCTTAACAATTACAATGATTACTAAACTATGATCAATAAAAATAACTGCAAGTCATGATGCATAAAATACCACAATGCATGTAAAAGCGTGGAACTGAGAAGCAAACACACACACGAAATTATTTTTTAAACATCCCTGAGCATTCCATCAACAGCTTGCGGCAGATACAATGTCCTTTGGTTCATTAATCTCTCCTCCACAATCCTGATACACATACTGTATGTGCATCAGTAATACTGCATACAAAAACCAAATTCCAAAACCTTTTATGCCTTTTTTTTTTACTCATTTGTACATGAAATACCAAATGCAAAAATAATCTTCACAAAGTTCATTTGTCACCCTTGAGGAGACATGACTTCTTGAGACTGTCATTAACGTCCACAATTTAGAAGTGGATATTTTCAGACAAAACCTACAGCTGGGGTGGACAGAAGGTAAATTGAATCCTAGGACTCAGCTATACTGTATAGCTGCAAACAAACAAACAAACAAACAAACAAACAAACAAACAAACAAAGTGTGCTGTAAAGTGCATTATACAATCTTACATTAGATGGTGATGGTGAGCTATGGCAAATTCAATACATTTTTTCAAAACTTTTTTAAAAAAGTGTTTTCACAATGTTTTTTTATATGTGTCTCGTTTCCATCATAGAATCTTAAGAGTTGGCAGGGACCCAAGAGCCATCTGCAATGCAGGAATTCATGATAATTGGAAAACAATTGGATCCGATCTTCTATGTAAACACATCAAGCGGCATTTCTGGACTATTTTATGAGCTCACAAAAGTACATGTATATATGGAACATAGGAAGCTGTATTATACCCAATCAGACCTCTGGCTCATCTGCACTGACTGTCCAGCAGATCACAAGGGCTTATTGCACTGACATTCCCAGCCCTGGAGATGCTAGGGATTAAACTAGGGACCTGTTTCATGTAAAACACGTACTCTACTACTGTATTGTACTCCCCCCCCCCCCGTACTACATATCACTGCATGCACAGTGGTAAAAAACAAAAACACCTCTTGATGCAATCATATGACTTTTTGCAGTGCTTTATCAATGCATGCCAAAAATTCATACAGATATTGAAAAGTGGAGACAAATGAAATAAACTGACATCAGGACTATACGTGCACAGCTCTCTGTACAAAATTTAGGATGGGGCGGGGAGGTGTAACAGTGGAAGATTTCTTCCTAATTCCCGATTGATTCCATGGAGAAGCAATATTCTGCAGTATGAAATTCCAAGAATCCATCCGAAAATTCAAACGAGAATTTTGGCAGCATCCCTAGTGCTTGATGTGATGTGCGGAAATTAAAAATGAGCCATGACGGGAAGTTTTGTAGGTTCACTCAGAAGTGAGATTTCAATGGAACTTATTATTAAGAGGGTTTAGGAATGCAGCCTCCGTGTACCTTGGCCGTTTTAAGAGCTAACTTCTGTTCTTCTGTTAGGCTTGTCCTTGGATATTTATGAAGGTCAAATCACTGCAGTTCTTGGTTGTAGTGGAGCTGGGAAAACAACACTGCTAAACATCCTTAGTGGACTTCTGAAGCCATCTGATGGTACGTATCAGAACTTTAAAATGAAGGAGGCTGCCACCCAAATCCATAAGAACAGGAGGAGGTTCCCCTTGATCACACCAAAGCCTTATCAAGTCCATCATTTGATTCCCACAAAGGCCCACCACACGCCACTGGGAGGAGCACAAAGGGGGCAATAGCAGTTCTCCAACAGTTAGTCTTCTGATCTAGCCATTGCGACTAGCAGCCACAAACATGTCCAAATCCCCTTTTAAGGCCATTTAGGTTGGGGGCCATTGCTATACTGTATGGCAGCAACTTCCGTAGTTTAATTATGTGCTTCGTGGAGAACTGAGATTCGTTGTTGTCATTCAGGCTGTGAGGATTCCAAACAATCATACCTAGAATTGCAGTCTAGGTCTCATTTCCACTCTTAGCAGGACAGCAGTAAATAGGATATGTTGAAATTTTATGAGAATTCAAGCAGCCTACTCTGTTTATTAAGCCTACCTATTTGCTTCCTATTTGCTTATGTGTACAGGCTCTGCGACCATCTTCAAGTACAATATATCAGCAAGGGAAGATATGGAACAAATTAGGGAGATAAGTGCTGTGTGCCCACAATTCAATGTGCAATTTGAATTCCTAACACTGAAAGAAAATTTACGGACTTTTGCTAAAATAAAGGGGATTCCAAACAATGATATTGAGAATGAGGTAAGGATATATTTATATGGCAAGTATTTCTGTTCTGCCTCTCTATATTCTTTGTCTATTTTCTTTGTAAAACAGGTTCATGGCAAGGGATTGCTGCCTTATCTTTTGTTCTGCTTTGTATTTGAGGTTTACTCAGCCTAATTCAGAGAAAACCCATTGTGCTTAAGTCCCGCTGAAGTCAATGGGACAAATTTGTTGAAACCAATTTAAATCCTGTTAATTGCAGTGGGAGAGGTGCAATAAATTTTCATTAGACTGGGACTAATTCAATAACTGAACAAAATACGTAAGCCTTGAGACCTATACAAATGAAAATTCTTCCAGCACTGTCTTTGTTATCATACTATGGAGGAATTATTTGAAGATTCTCTTGAGATGAGTTGAGTTGAGGCAAACCCCTCAACTGTCCTGATTTGACCAGGACATCCAGAATTACAGAAGCCATCCCAGCTCCTGATTGGATCCCGGGATGTACTATTTTGGCTCCCACAAGAGTGTGGCCTCAACAGATGCCCATTTTGGGCGGCTGTGCTCTTGAGTCATGTGACATGCACCCTGATTTTCCTCTGTGGCAGGTTGGAGGGTATGTTGAGATTCTTGCTGAGTATATGTATAACTCAGAGCAGGGCCTTCATGTGGCTGCCCCCTTTCTTTGGAACAGTATTATGGTCCAGATACGACAGGCGCTCATTATCTGCTCTTTCCAGAAACAAATGAATTTAATTTTTTGACAGTCTTTCCCAGCTGAATAAATGGATGTTTACCACAAGTATATACCTTGTATTGATTTCGTTTGTTTATTTAAGCATTGTATTTTTGACTTTTCAATTACACATACTAAACAAAGCAGAACAGTAATAAATTGATAAAAGAAAAGCTATTTTTGGGTGTAAGGCAAAGACAAGAGTGCATAGATTAGTAGCAGAAACAAGGCTCAGGAATGATTAGCCACAAAATTCTAAAGCTGATAAAAAGGCATCTGTTGGGCCAACTTGAAACTTGGCATTTACAATCTACCTGATGCCGTCTACAAAAGCGCCACATTTCAAACTGATCCAGTAAAAATGGCCGCGATTACAGCAAGTTACAAAGTGCTGAAAAGTGGTGCTTTGACCTCTTTTTTTTCCAGTTGGCAACAAATCATTTCGTATTATTTCTTTTAGATGTTGCAAACTACTGGTGTACTTTATCCATGCTTGTTGTGGACCAGACCTTTTCATTGTTTTGATGAAATCCTGATCAGCAGTTTGAAATTATTAAGGTTTTCCTGCCCAGCTGAAATCTATGGAAAACAAGGACTTGCAAAATAATGCTTGGTGCATGACTGAAGGCGAAAATGAAGGCAGAATGTTGCAGCAGGAGTCACCTAATGGATGCTGTGTGCAATGCCTTTTCCTTAGTTATTAAATATCACAGCATGGGTGCAGAAAAAGACATGATTGAAAAATAATGTAGGAATGGACCATGTTGTAGAACATTTAGCGGCAGATATTCAGGCAGCCGGTGCATATTAAAGTCCTAGTGTTGATGTGTTTGGGAGGGAACAAGGAGCAGGGGCTTAATGCAACCCCACTTTCTGCTTCTCAAGAGCTGATTTCAAACTCTAAACCTTCTTGAAGGGCTCCTTGAGTGACAGCTGTGCATCCAGAAAATGCAGCGTGAGCAATACCGAACTGCCTCATGGACCACTCTTCACTAGATGAACCAATAGCGTTTTCCAGTCCACACATGAAACTGTACTGTAATCCCATTGGCATTCATTAATAATAATAATAATAATAATAATAATAATAATAATAATAATAGCACAAGCATTGTTGTATAACCAAACAAACCCTGGAATACAACAGTCTGGAGCAATGCCATTTGGGTTCTTCCAAAAACCTGCTTGAGCAAATGATCCTAATTCCAGGGACGACATCTCATCTGGAAATGCCTTATATCCCATTAAGATTCGAACCTCTATAAAATAGCTTGTTGCTTTCAACCAACCAAGCGACTGAAAAGCAAGATAGGAAGAAATCCGAAGGAATCCAACATCTTGGTGCTTGAAACATGTGTTTATATGCTTTACAGGTGCAAAAGCTAGTGACCCTCTTGGATCTCGATGCCATTCAAGACACCCAAGCTAATCGTTTAAGTGGTGGGCAAAAGCGAAAATTATCTCTCGCGATTACTTTCTTGGGAGAGCCACAGGTAGGTGAAGCAAGGTCAGGACAAAAGGACCTGTTGAACATATTTCATAAGTACTCTCCATCTTGTAATGCATCTACTGTTTCCTCTCAAAAGCAATGGAGTGTGTAGATCTCTCACTGATCTGTGGTCAGTCATGAAACTCCCTAATTTCAGTCTTATCTTTACTTCCCTTCTAAATTCCCATTCCCCAAACACTGTATGTAAAGTGAAGCTTTCACATTTAGTACAAGATTAGCTTCAATTAAAAAATAATAATAATATAAAATTATTTTCCCCAAAACATTTTTTAAAGCCGCATAACTGTTTATATTGTTGTGAGTTAACCCTGCACCCAGCAAGGGGTTAAAATGTAATGGAGGATGCAACTGTTGGAATAGCCAGGCCAGCTTCTTGGTGAGTTAATGGCCCTTAAGTATGGGTCCTTAGGGTAACAAAGGAAGTGGGCTTTGTGCCAGAGGCCAAATGAGTGGGCCCCTTCCCTCACCTGGCTGGTGGTGAGAAGGACAAGTGCCAGACGTATGTGAGAGAGAGCTGGGCGGGAAGCAAACAGCAGGCAGAAGTCAGAGAGTGAGAGCCATGTTTGATTTCTGTTTGAATCCAAGGCTTTGGCTACGGGAAAAGCAAGACCTTCTGGGGTGTTAATGCTGTGACCATATCCATCGTAGACTCAGGTTGTATATACAATGGTACCTCAGGTTAAGAACTTAATTTGTTCTGGAGGTCCGTTCTTAACCTGAAACTGTTCTTAACCTGAAGCACCACTTTAGCTACTGCCGCCCACTGCCGCCGCGCTGCTGCTGCTCAATTTCTGTTCTCATCCTAAAGCAAAGTTCTTAACCCAAGGTACTATTTCTGGGTTAGCGAAGTCTGTAACCTGAAGCATCTGTAACCTGAAGCATCTGTAACCCGAGGTACCACTTTATGTGTAAATAAACTGTTATGTATTGAAGTTCTCACCAGGGGTATTGTGTACAGTGGTACCTCGGGTTACAGACGCTTCAGGTTACAGACTCTGCTAACCCAGAAATAGTGCCTCGGGTTAAAAACTTTGCTTCAGGATGAGAACAGAAATCGTGCTCCGGTGGTGCGGCGGCAGCGGGAGGCCCCATTAGCGAAAGTGGTGCTTCAGGTTAAGAACAGTTTCAGGTTAAGAACGGACCTCCGGAACGAATTAAGTACTTAGAATCATAAAGTTGGAATAGACCACAAGGGCCATCGAGTCCAACCCCCTGCCAAGCAGGAAACACCATTAGAGCACTCCTGACATATGGTTGTCAAGCCTCTGCTTAAAGACCGCCAAAGAAGGAGACTCCACCACACTCCTTGGCAGCAAATTCCACTGTTGAACAGCTCTTACTGTCAGGAAGTTCTTCCTAATGTTTAGGTGGTATCTTCTTTCTTGTAGTTTGGATCCATTGCTCCGTGTCCGCTTCTCTGGAGCAGCAGAAAACAACCTTTTCCCCTCCTCTATATGACATCCTTTTATATATTTGAACATGGCTATCATATCACCCCTTAACCTCCTCTTCTCCAGGCTAAACATGCCCAGCTCCCTTAGCCGTTCCTCATAAGGCATCGTTTCCAGGCCTTTGACCATTTTGGTTGCCCTCCTCTGGACATGTTCCAGTTTGTCAGTGTCCTTCTTGAACTGTGGTGCCCAGAACTGGACACAGTACTCCAGGTGAGGTCTGACCAGAGCAGAATACAGTGGCCCTATTACTTCCCTTGATCTAGATGCTATACTCCTATTGATGCAGCCCAGAATTGCATTGGCTTAACCCGAGGTACCACTGTATATAGTTTTCACTCAGGTCCACATCAGTTAATTTAGGCGGGAAACCCTGGGGTGGTGTTGTTACAATGTTGACAGCCAGCTGCCTATCAAAGCAGGCCGGCTGAGCTGTTCAGTTCAGTTCAGTTCCAGCTTACTATAAAGAACCACTTGGAGAAATCTCTGTGTCGTCTGCTTTGTCAACCCACTACTTGATATAAACCATATATTATAAAGGCACCACAGTCTTTGTTGTCCCTCATTCCAAGGAAAGTGAACTCTGGGTAAGATCCCGGAACCCCTGCGCTCTTGCACCACTCCACAGTTGGGGTGGCATTCAAAAATACCATTGACCCAGTTGGGTTGCCATTAATTCTTTTTAAAGAATCCACTTCAACATGGAATGCTATGTGCTAATTTCTCAAGGTTTCCGAGTCTGAAAATGCAATCATCGCATGTTCTGCCTACAGGTCTTATTCTTAGATGAACCAACTGTAGGGCTGGATCCTTACTCTCGACACCAAGTGTGGGCCCTCCTGAATGAGCGCAAAGCAGGTCGGGTGATTCTGCTCACCACTCAGTTAATGGATGAAGCTGATATTCTTGCTGGTTAGTAGAATCTCTCATGGTAAAAACAGTTTGACAAGTATAGGCATGAAGCGAGAGAGAAATAACCGAGACCATGTTACTTGGGAACTTATCCCGCACTGATCTGCACTATCCTTATTTCTGTCTGTTGGAACAAAAAGCTCCTCCGTTGCACTGCGTAAAGGAGGTGATCCACATAGCACCCTGGATGATTCCTTCACATCTTTCACTATGCTGTCATTCACCAAGTTCCTGTTATTCCAGGAGTAACAGGCGTGCTGAGGACTAGCCTTGGAAATTCCAATGCCTTTGTGAAATGTCAAATTACTCTTACCTCTTCTGCTTCACTGGCTAAGCCAGGCATCCCGTACCTGTGGCCCTCAAGATGTTTTGGACTACAACTCCCATGACCCCTATCTAACAGGACCAGTGGTCAGGGGTTATGGGAATTGTAGTCCAAAACATCTGGAGGGCTGAAGGTTGAGGATGCCTGGGCTAAGCGTTTAATGCAGTGTTTCCCAAACTTGGGTCTCCAGCTGTTTTTGGACCACAATTCCCATCATCCTTGAGCACTGGTCCTGCTAATTAGGAATGATGTGAGTTGTAGTCCAGAAAAACAGCTAGAGACCCAAGTTTGGGAAATGCTGGTTTAATGGGTTGCAGCTACTACTCTTCAATGCAGTCTTCACAGCTGTTTGAGGGGGACCAATCTTTTCTCTCATTCCATCACCTTCATTAGCTTTTGGATTCCCTGTTATCTGTTGCATCTCTTTTTGCATGACATCAACTGCCCTGCCCTAACAATTGACATGTGATTGTAAAATAATCTGTACTGGGAGGACAGGTGAAATAATCCCTCCCATCACTCTGGGGGACAAGTGTTTGCATTTTCCAAGCTTGGCTCCACCTGGGTTACAAGGAGTAAATAGATCTCTTCCAGCTGAGCCTTGATCAACAAGTTCTGCCTTAGCTGAAATGTGTTTTGCATTTCCTATCTTATTCCGGGTTCCTGATATGTAGCTTCCCTTAGATTGCACCTTGGTCTTCAGCTTCTGACTCGCTCCAGACTGCTTTTTGTGACCTGGACAATTATGCTGACTTAACCCTACCCCAATGAAAGAGATTTGCTTGCAAGACCTGCTGTGACGGTTGTACAGCTTGCCTGTTTGTGTGTGCAACATACGCCTCTGATTCGTGTGCATGTAAAGAAACAGGATTGTTTGAAATGAAGGCAGCATTTCTGGAACTCGTTTTATTTTCTGCATCACCCTTCTGAATCTCAGCTCACTGCACATTCCCCTTCAGATATTTCCTGCTTCTGATTTGGATATGGGGAAGAATTTATTTCTGCAGAATGTGATAAGTAAAACCAGAACTTTATGTGTTTTTCCTTCCAGACCGGAAAGCATTTATCTCTCAGGGCAGGCTGTCTTGTGTTGGTTCATCTTTATTCTTGAAGAAAAAATGGGGTGTTGGCTACCATTTAAGGTACTTTTGAGTTTGGCAATCTTGTACTCTTACCTATTTTGCAATCTCTGGTGGGCATCACAGATATTTATCTATTTTATTTATAAAATTGTGCAAACTCTTCTTCTTTTTAAAAAAATCTAAGTATGTCAAGAAATTCCGCCTTTCTGGCTCAACGTCTCTTGGTCCAAGCTCAGACCAAAAAGAGGAAAGGGAGAGATCAGGCTGTAAAGATGCTGTGCTGCTGTTTCTTTCAGCAGAACTCTTATGGTTTTAGTAATGTCATAAATACTTGATTCAGATAACAGTTTTATTAAAGGAATGCAATACTTGGTCATTGGTGTCCATCTAAATCCATTCTGAATACGAACAGGATGCATGTAAATGAATTGTATGACCCCGAGAGAACAACATCCCTGGTCAAGCAATACATCCCTGCTGCCAAATTATCAGCACAACATGAAAATGAGCTGAGTTATATACTGCCCTTGGAAAATGTGGATAAATTTCCAGGTAATTATCGTCTTGAATATGTAAATGATATCATAGCTATCATCTTTGAGTGTGCTATTAATGGAGATGTTCCTCAAAATGTTACTTTGGGCTGTAAGTACAATAAAAAGGATTTGCACAAGGCCGTAATGGAGATTGGAAATGCTAATCTTGAACTAGAAGTAAGCACTTGAGTTTCTTTCTCCCTGTCATGTAGATCTGTTCTCTGACATGGACCGCCAGAAAGAACTAGGAATTGTTAATTATGGGGTTACCATGACAACTCTGGAAGATGTCTTCTTGAAGCTGGAGGGAAATGAAATGATTGATGAGAAAGGTAACATACTGTTCCAAATAACATACTTTCTAGTAGTGATTCCCTGCTACAGCAGGGAAAATATGAGTTTGGGACCATATCTGTTGTTGGCATCCAACCGTCGTGGGAGCATACCCGCCAACACTTCTCCTATTTTATAATAATAATATCTATATGCCACCCATTTGACTGGGTTGCCCAAGCCACTCTGGGTGGCTTCCAATAAATATATATAAAACATAATAAAACATATATTCTTGCATTTCAGGGCATTAGACTAGATGATCCTTGGGTCCCTTCCAACTCGTAAGATTCTATGATTCTATAAAACGTTTAAAAACTTCCCTATACAGGGTTGCCTTCAGATGTCTTCTGTATAGTTACTTATCTCCTTGGCTTGGGGGTTGCATAACTCCATACCCTCCAACATGTCTCTGATGAAAATAGGGACATCCTAAGGAAAATCCTAAGCCTCAGCGCCTAGGACTTGCCGATCGAAAGGTCGGTGGTTCGAATCCCCGCGGCGGGGTGCGCTCCTGTTGCTCGGTCCCAGCGCCTGCCAACCTAGCAGTTCGAAAGCACCCCTGGGTGCAAGTAGATAAATAGGGACCGCTTACTAGCAGGAAGGTAAATGGCGTTCCGTGTGCTGCGCTGGCTCGCCAGAGCAGCAATGTCACGCTGGCCACGTGACCCAGAAGTGTCTCCGGACAGCGCTGGCCCCCGGCCTCTTGAGTGAGATGGGTGCACAACCCCAGAGTCTGTCAAGACTGGCCCGTACGGGCAGGGGTACCTTTAAGGAAAAGCGGGACATTCTGGGATCGAATCAGAAACCTGGACAGCTTCTGTGAATCCAGGATTGTCCCTGGAAAAGTGTTGCATTACAGCTGCCTTTCCCTGTTTTTTTTGAATCTGGGAGTGAGAGCTGGGATGGTTTATCAATGACAGGGGAAAAACATCTGCAGTAGTGGTGGCAGCAGCGAGGAGAGCTGGGGGGAAGTAGGGGATTGACTGACCCAGCATCAGAAGAAGTCAGAACTGAGTTTGTATAAGCAAGTAGTCTCTCCTTTGGCCAATACCAAAGTTCTGATTTTGTGCTTTTGAAATTTGATTACAAAGAGGGGCCAAAGGGTGCTGACGAAATGGAACAAGATCTGCTATTGCTCTCAAACACGGGAAAGGCAACCATAAGCGGATCAGAACTCTGGAGGCAACAAGTTTGCGCCATGGCAAGAATGCATTTTTTAAATCTCAAGCGCGAGAGCAAACTCTGGGGAACGCTGTAAGTGCCAAGATAATTGCTTAAAAGCCGTCGCAATCTGGGTTACTGTATACGTAGCATCGCTAGCCTCCTCCACCACACTGTAACCACTAACACACACACACCACAATTGTGAATCAACCACCCTTCCAATTTTGCAGCCACAATCATACACTATTTTCACCTTCATCCCTGTTCCCATCAAGGGGAGCGGGCAGAAAATGAGGGGGAGGAAGAGGCATGGAAATGGGGGTGAAAGGGGAATGTGGGGGTGCAAGTGGACTGCAGTGTAGAAGAGAGAAGCAGCTTCAGAAATGGGGTTGGGAAGGTGGAAATGGGGATTAGTAGGTGCATGCGGTTGGAGGGGGCTGGTCTACAGGAGTACCTCAGGTTACATACGCTTCAGGTTACAGACTCGGCTAACCCGGAAATAGTACCTCGGGTTAAGAACTTTGCTACAGGATGAGAACAGAAATCGTGCTCTGGCGGCGCAGAGGCAGTGGGAGGCCCCATTAGCTAAAGTGGTGCTTCAGGTTAAGAACAGTTTCGGGTCAAGAACGGACCTCCAGAACGAATTAAGTACTTAACCCGAGGTACCACTGTACTGAGGTGGGGGGCAGAATTGAGAGGTTAGCAATGGGGGATAGGCTGGTTTGGCCAGTGACAGAAATGGGGTTGCTGCCACTAATAGATTCAATACCAGTTGCAATCATTCTCATTTGCTTAATTACTATCCTTTCTTTATTACAGACTGCTCCTTTTTGGAATTTTGCTGGCACCTTTAGCCATCCAGGTGCTGTTATATACTATTTGGAGGAGCCTGCATTGTGCAGAGCTACAACCTGGGCTTTATTTTGAGCCAGGAAAGGAGTCTTTCAGAGGGTCTGCTGGACTTCTGATCCTTAATAATACAGGTAAGAGTGAAGAACAGAATATTGAGATCCCCCCCCCCGCCCCAATCAGGTTTCGACCAAGAGCCAACATGCCAATACACCATGGCCAGACTGGGAAAACCTGGGTACAAATCTCTCCTCAGCATAAAGCACAGTGATTGAACAATAATCATCTCTCTTTTTTAAAAAAAATAATTTTTATTAACCGACCAATCAAATCAAATCACATCACATAAATTCCGAATTACAAAGCCGAATTTAAATTTTTTTGTTGGGGGTACCCATATTTCAAGTTCCGAAGGGGATTCCAATCATCTTCTTGCTGCTGCGTTAATATCCACAAATCTGTCCAAATAATGTTCATATTTCTATCCAGTCCTATCTTGCTGTTCCCACGTCTCATCTTATTCATATATTTTTCTTTTTTCTTTGTGATCTCTTCTGATAATCTCCTTAAGCAGGTAAACACCAGTTATAATCCTGTGTGAATTTTTCCGTTAGTCCAATCACCATATCGAGATGGTTTCCATATATCATCACTTCCATAAATAAAAGCACTCTTTCCATCATTCATCTTCGCAAATCTGCTGCCTTCTTTAGTCCTCTGAGGAGGCCGCCTGCAGTATGAAAACAGATCCATTCCTCCTCCCAGACATAAGTCTTTCGACAGAACTTGCCCAAATGGCGACACTGTTTTTTTACTGCGTCATCCCAAAGATCTTAAACTTTCCACGATCTCCTTAAAACATGCTTTTGGTTAGAGATTATCTCCACACAGTCTTAAATAATCAGCTTAGGTCATTTAAGTGGCATTTCTGACTTGGGGGGGGGGATTCTTGGTTAATCACATAGAGAAAAGAAAGGAAAGTCCCCCCCCCCATCCAGTCCCGTTGCCGACATACCAAGCCTTGGTGTGTCTTCTCATGATATATTCCTGTTTATCCAACCCGTCTTCTTTCTCAGAGATCTCTTCAATTAGCAGTCTTTACTCCCCCTTCTTCCTTGAATTATGTGCATTTGCTTCTACCTAATTATTTCTTTTGAATTTGCTGCAGCTAGAGGCGCGAATCAGAGACAGCGTCCAGGAGAGCCGAAATCCGCACAAGGGCTTTCTGCCTAGTGCCCCCACCCCCTTGAGTTTGGGGGTGGTATAGGGCACAGCAGGCAAGGGCAGTCCCCCCACTCACTTGGGGGGGCAGGGAGGCTGCTTACTCCCATCACAGCCTCTTAATTACCTTGTGTGGGTCGGAGAGATGTTATTGTCGGCCATCTTCCAATGTGCCCCTAGTGGCACCCCCCTGAACAATAATCATCTCTTAATCCAATATTGTCTCAGTGTTGTGAGCAAAAAGTGAGGGGAGGGGGAACCATGTCTAACAGCCCTTTGGAAGGAAGGATAGAATATGAATGTAATAAAATGAAGTTTTCATACAATTTTAATGGACCAGTAGAAAGCGAGTGAAAAATGTTTTTCCAGCTCTCTATCAGGAACTGAAGGCTTTTTAACTAAGAGCACCCAGAGCCCCAACTATAGCATAGCTCTATGGATTGCCTGAGGAGTTTGGTCTACTCATAAGGAGTAGGTTCCTTACAAATAACCCTTTGTTCTGTACGAGACATGTTCTTCTGGTGAAAACTTCAGCATCAGGCAGTTGACTGAGCCTGCAACTTTAGGAATCAGTACTCCCTTGGACTCAGTAGTGGTTTAGCCTCTACCATTGATTTTGAGCAAAGGTCTGGTGGAGAAAGGTCTTGTGCCATGATCCCTGAAAGCGCCAAATCCCCCTGCTGTGTCTCACTGCCCCATTATACATCGTGCTCCTCTATAATGTTAGCTTTGGGGAGTGCCAAGTCCTCCTCTGAAGAGGATTCCTTCAGGGCTGTCTGAGATGCCAGATTGTGTAAGGTATCAGATATTTGCTTACAAAAATTTTGATTACAGCCAACCAGGATATGGCTCTTCAAAGCTTGCTTCACTGACGGGGTCATATCATGGAGCCTGGCACTATTGGCAGTCCTAAAAGAATAAGATAATTCCAATATTACCTCAATAGTAAAAATAAAAAATTAAGAATTTTGGGTGGAATTCAAGATGGCACTAAGGCGATTGTTCCGTCAGTGCTCATCTCCTCCTTCATGCTGTTTTAGGGGTTTCCCCAAACTTCCCTCCCTCAAGTCAGTTTGGGGAGGAGAGGGTGTGGGAAGCCCATTTGTGCTAGTGGGATAACACAACCCATTTTAGCAAATAAATAGGCATTAAATGTTACACAAAGATAAGTCAAATTCTGTATTACACTTCATTTTGGTTTTCTCCTGTTTGAGAAATTAAGATTCTACCACAGTCCTCCGGTCATTCTGTGAATCCTTGTTTTCTTTTTCAGGTGCAAGCATTGACAATTTCATCCAAGCAGTGAAGAATCAGAATGTCCTGGTAGAAGTTGTCTCTGGCAAAAATGTCAGTGACCAACTAGTGCACAATGGGGCTATAATGGTAGCCCTTGAAGACAAGGTAACTTCAGTTATTTTTTGTTGCAATCAGTACCATTTTTCTAGAAAAGGAGGTGCCAGAACTCACCACGAACGCCTCCTTTGTTTTCTTAAAATGGCAATGGTGCTCACCTGAGAGGTGCCAGAACTGAATTCTGAACGGGGGGGACCCCCCTGGGTGTAATCCTAAGTGGGATAAAACTAGGGAGCAAAGCCCCATATCGACTGTTACCATCTTGTGCCGGCTTGTGCAGGGGCAGGAAATGTCAGGGCAGACTTACTCTTTGCATTTCCATGTGGTTTCCTTTTTTAATCTTTAGCCCCATATCGCTGGCTGGAGGGGGTTAGGATCGTGTGAAACTGGCTCCCTAACAACGAAGGAGAGCTTTGACTGTCCTTGTTTCTTCATAAAAGCAATACTAAAAAATCCTGGTAACCAAATATGGTTGTACATGTTTTGAATTTGAAAGCAAGCAGCATCTTGTGGTGTTGAGCGTAGCTGTTTTGCAAGCCTGTTTTTAAATGCCTTTCCCAGTTAAAGAGAAATGCTCTTTAAGTAGAGTATAATACTGGTGCAGCATCAGGAAACAGGTAACAGCTAGCTCCATCCCAGCCAAATTAGAAGCAAGGCCACGATTCCAAAATATGGGGGCACAAAGTTCACAACTGTATGAGAGCAATGAAGCTGAAATATACTCGGAGTCCTGTAGTGATTTCATGCTCTTTATTGCAGCTTGTAAAACAGTGATTGAATTGCCCCCCAAACCCCAGGCTTTTATATACATTAATTACACAATGAGTCCCGTCTGATTGGCTGATTCTGTTTCCCTCCTGGAGCTCGATTGGTCTTTTCCTGCAGACCAATCAGTTGTTGCATTTTAGGATCCTACCAGCCTAATAGGCTGATTAACTTCCTCCTGGAGCCTGATTGGTCTTTTCCTGCAAGCCAATCAGTTGTTGCATTCTAGGATCCTACTTGCCTATTGTTCTAGGATCCAAGCTTAGTACATAACAGAAGCTGTCCCAACAAGTTCGTATACCTACCCAGCAAGCTCTTTTCCAGAAGAAGAGGTGCTGGAACTCACCATGAACGCCTCGCTTGTTATCTTATAATGGTAATGGATCCCACCTGAGAGGTGCTGGAGCTCAGTTCCTGTGAGTTCTGGCTGAAAACAACAACCCCGTTTATAGCTAAGGCACGGCACATACCTTCCTTGAAAGAATCAGCCTTGTAAGAATGTCTAGCCTGCAGGTGCAGACTCCATCAAGGTGGGTGCCTCTGTTCCCACTGGTGAAGGCATCTTCTGACCCTGGGAGACAATGGCAGACCTGCCTCCTCTTGTGAATCCTCTTCAGCCTCACCCCAGCCTGTGGCTCTGAGCTCTCCACAGCCTCTGGCAACATTCTCTCCTCGACAGGAAGGGAAACAGGAACAGAGACTCCAGTACCAGCATTACCATCTTTCTTCAGACAAGACTTTGCTCTGCTGTCTCAGGCTCCTGTCCCCACTCTTCCCCATCTGCTGCCCAAGGTCCACACTTGAAGGCACTTAGTGATGTAGGACACCTTCATTACAAATAACACATAAAGCAGGCCTATGAATTTCTGTTTTCATTGCAGGCTGTTATTTTCTCAGCATTCATTCACTGACTCGTTTGAATTTCTAACTTGTATTTCATTTCTTGTCTCGGTTCAGAAATACAGATTCACACTTATATGCCACATGGAAGTGACCAATTGCTTTCCAGTGCTTGTCAACATCATCAGCAATGCACGCCTGCGAATGTTAAATTCCGCTGCCCATATTCGAATCTGGAGTCACATGTTTCTATTTGTAAGTCTTTCTTTTTTTAAAAAAAGATATTTATTAAAGTTTTCAACTGGATTGTAAGAATGGTTGCAGTAGTGTGAAGAGGCGGACTAGTTGTAGTGATGAATAAGTGTGAAAACACACACACACACAAAATCTCTCTTTAATAGATTTGCATTCATCTTTAATATTGATACGCTTCCAAGCCAAGGTATTTCTAATTTCATCCATTTTTCAGAACTTCTGTGATTTTAAAATCATGCGTTCACTTTGAAACATCATTTTATTAGTTGGTGTTATATATATTCCAAAGTATTTGATAGAAATGTTTGTCCACTTAATATTCATTTGTTTTGATATTTTAGTTTTAATTTCTTCTAGTACAGTATATTAATACTCGTAATATCTGTACCACCTGAGTCGATTTTATACTCAGAGACTCTGCTGTAGTCTCTGAATTCAGTTGATTCTTGTGAGTTTATAATAGTTAACAGTACTACATCATCAACCTAAAGACAACTTTTAAATAAGCAATGATCAACTTTATTCCTATAATTAAATATCATTTTTAAGCCTACCAAGTGCAGAGAATAATAGCAGCTGTTCTAATCATATATACTGTCACACAGTGTTTATAAACTTTATCTTTCTGATTTGTTTCCCAGCAATTTAGTAGCAAACAGCTATGGATCTTTTTATGTAACATGTGCATGTTTGGGGTATTTATATACCCTACCTTTCCAGCACATTTTGCGATGATGAGCGGTCGTTACTACAAGGTAAAGTAATTAAACATGCATGAAACTTATTCCCTTGCAATGAATGCAGTCTTTTGATTTCCCCCACTCCAGCTGACATCAAGGGACGCGGGTGGCGCTGTGGT